CACACACACACACACACACACACACACACACACACACAACCTGGATTTTATAATAAGTATGATTCAATAATAATAATGATTAGAAAATTAATCCATTATTGCCTAAAGTTCCTTTAAAATTTAATTTGACTAATCTACCTTGCTGGCTAATGGTAATATTAGAAGTGATGGATTTTAAATTTTAAGAAACCCTTGTCTAAAATAATTGGGCACCATGTACTAATGGCTTATATAGTTTCAGCATCCGAGTTTAGCAGGTGTTAACTAAACCAAAGAAGATATAAAGCTTTTTTTTTTCTTTTTAATCAAGTTCACACAAAGCAAGGTAGTAAAGCCACTGTGACACAAAGGTTTACTGGATGTGGAAGAGTTAGAAAGAAAAAGAATTGCCAGAGAGCGAGAACAGATGAAGAGTAATTAAGAGAACAGTAGATAGCGATTGACATTGCATTTAAATCTTTGCCGACTAAAGTTGCCTGGTAAGTATGCAGCCGGAGTTCTACAACGGAGAAGTGCGAGAGAAGAAACTGTTATCATAAAACTTACGGCTACATCTAGCAATTTCAATTGTAAAATGACGAGTTATTGCCGCCAATCTAGTCTTCTTCTTTTATGTGCCGTGTCCCTTCAGGACCTAGGCGATCATGGCTCTCCATTTCATCCTGCCCCTTGTAGCTCTCAATAAGCTTTGACTTTTTCTTATTTCTCCCAGACCTTGTTCTGTCATCCACTTACATTAAACATGTCACGCGTTACTTTCCCTTGTCCCTCTTTCCCTCTATCCGCCCCGTGAGTATCAGATTTTCCGAGCCCTACTTTCTCATTACGTGTCCCAGAAATATCAGTTGCCTCTTCCGGGTGTTAAGTATAAGTTTCCTTTTTGTTTGCATCTTTTCCAAAATCTCATCGTTGCTCACATGTTCTGTCCATGGTATCCTCAGCATCCTTCTGTAGAAACACATTTTTGCTGTTTCGAGTCTCTTCTTCATCTTTGAGGAGACCGTCCAACATTCGGTGCTGTAAAGGAGAGCAGATATCACATAGCAGTTCAGCACTCTTTTCTTTGTTACCAATGAAACCAATCTAGTACTGCTCTTAAATTCATAAAGTCTAGGTACCATAGAGAAAAGTTCATCAGAACAATTGCCATGAAAGTATTTATAGAGAAGGTGAGAGAAGAAACTGTTAGCATTGAACTTACGATTACATTTAGCCATTTCAACCATAAAATGATGAGACCTAGCTGCCAATCTAGTACTGAACTTTAATTCATAAAGTGTAGGTACCATAGAGGAAAGTTCATCAGAACAATTACCATGAAAATATTTATAGTAAAGGCATAAAGATAGCCCTAAGATTTTCCCATCACTTAATATGGTTCTATCAACTGTAAATTGGTATGACCTCGTCGGCTAACTTTTGTTCCCAAGTACTTTTAAATGATACTCCATTCAAGTGAGTCAATTTCTGGGACAGCAGACACACACACACACATATATATATGATTTTTGAAAACGTTTCAACGTAATAACTACATTTTTTCAAGACTATTTGACAACATATACCAAAATAATATATATATATGAAAGACACGGTGAAGTAGTTGATAGCGGCTCGGATTGAGGAATCGGAAGCCGAGTTCGAATTCCAATCGAAACCATTACATTCACGTGCTAATAACTTGGGAAAGGTATTAATCCTCTTCTTCTCCCACCAGCTATGGGTAAAAAGCAGGACAGACTGGGTTCTTTAAACTTGGATGGCAACTAGTCTAGGAGAAGGCCAACATGCTTAACAAGAAAACTTCTAAGAGAAGGCAAACTCTGTATTCAAAACCTGCGGAAAGTAGTTTGGGGACATTATGGCACGTAGTCTACCAGGTCTCTGTATTCTGGCCCTTCAAAAAGAGTAGTTGGTTCTGCACAAAGCCTTCACCATTATAACAGATCATATGTATTGGTGTCTGGCAGTCAGTTCCTAAGAACTGTGCAATTTATTTACTTTAAAAAAAAAAAAAAAAATAAACAATTACCCTGTAAGATTCAAATTACAGAGAAACAAAATTACGAATTCACATGTTTCTTAAAGAACTGTGTTCTTGATCAATCCAAATTCATATATTGGATATACCTCAAGAAGATTCACTTGCATATGCGTACTTATATGCACACACACACACACACACACACACGCATACATATACACGTAATTTGTTATCAAAGTATTACATTATCGGAAATTAACTGCTTTCGAGATGTGCAGAACACAAGGTCAAGAACAACATTCTCGCGCGTTCTGTTAGACTTGAAATATCCGTTTTGAAACTAATATGAAATGTTTTGTTATAAGACTTGAGGTTTTACCAGTATAGCTACGATACCTACGTGCATCGGAAGATGCGCAAAGTTCAGAAAGAGAAGTGAGGGAAGGGAAAGAGGTAGAGGAAAACGGAAAGAGAAACAGTGAAGAGAAAGAATGAAAGATAAAAGAAAGAAAGAAAGAAAGAAAGAAAAAAAGAAAGAAAGAAAGAAAGAAAGAACGAAAGCTTTACTTGTAATTAACGGAAAAGTAGACAGAGGTCGTTTTAAAAAAAAACTAATGAAAGAAATAGAGGCAGAGACACAGAGAAAGACAGAGGAAGTGAAAGTGAGGGAAAAAAGAAAGACAGAGAAAGAAAGAGAGGGAAAGAAAAAGAAAGACAGACAGAAAGAGAGAGAGAGAGAGAGAAAAAAAGACAGAGAGAGAGAGAGAAAGAAACAGTGTCTGATTTTTTAATCGGCACGAGTCCAGCCCTTCTTCCAGATGTCCACCCACTTTTACACCTTCCCACCTCAACTCTAACTTACACCCTTCTCCTATCCACACACCCAGTAGTTCAACCTACACATCCCCAACTCCGGTGCGTCCATTCATATTTCCGACATTTGGTACCCAATCCGTTCACTTCCCGCCTCAAGCTGAAGAAGAAGAAAAAAAAGAAAACAAACGAACCACTCAAAATGAGAAATAAACAATAGCAAAAGTCGGAGAAACATTTTTAGTTTTTATTTTTAACGACTCGTATATTCGTTTCTTCGTTATTTACGTTTTGTTTGCAGGGAAGGGTCGTGGCTTCTCTGGTAAATTTATTTATTGAGTTTTTGAGAAGACCTTGTTGATGCTAGCTAATTACTCCAATTTGGGCAGAGTTGTAAGCATATAGTCTTGAAACATTTGCAAAAATTATATATATATATATATATATATATATATATATATATATATATATATATATATGATTATTGCAAATGTAGTCATATCCTATTGAAAAATGTAATAAACATTTCCAAAAAATCATCTCTTTCTCTCCATATATATATATATATATATATATATATAAACATATATTGTTAAGTATAACATACAATGAATGTCTATTATGTTTGATCATGAGCCGTTCTGAAGTCCGTATATTTACCTTAATCTCGAGTGAAAATAAAGTCCAACATTTGGATATTTTTTTTTTATTAAGCTGTTCCCTGATCTAAGTTTTCGGCTCCACAAATGCAGACATTTAAACAAAGATATTAACCATCAAAGATGATATTCTGTTATGTGGACATGGAAGATTGCCATGCGACGATAACGGTCGCGGAATAGCAGATGCAAGTCGTAAATTCGTGATGCAGTTCTATAACATCGTACCACACGAGAGTCCGAAATATTAACAATAGAACCATTTGTCTGAATGCAATGTAATGTGTTGTGACTAATTTGAAATGTAATTTTGTTGAGTGTGGATTCTTTTTACTGTATGTACGTGAGAGTATTGTCTTGTCATCAAGTAATATCTGTCTAATATTATGTACATGGCTAAGTTTTTTTTAAGAAATGTTGTTTAATAGATCTAAGATCAGAAAGGTGACAGGTAAGTCTAGTGGAAAGACTCACACATACACATACATATTATTACTAGCGTTTTCTTTTTTATTAATAGTGCTTCAATTATTTTTAGCCTTTTTGTACATGTGGATGAGGCTATTATATTTGTATTATCAACGGGTAGAGTTTGGTAGGTCTCTTAAAGGAGACCGAATTGAGCTGTGGTCAGAGAGATGCAGTCAACACATTCTCCAGGAACGGTCTTACCAGGAATATACCAAAAGACTATATGTAAATATTGTGTACACTTTCTTGTTACAATACATTTTGTTCTAAGTACATTTTGTGTTGCATTATTATTCCATGCATTAGTCAAGTTTCAACACTCGTTTGGCCTCTAATTTTATCAAAGATAAGATAATAGCAAAAGGAAGGATGTGTTTGTGGGGGATACAAACTGGGAATATATATATACATAGATATAGTATAAAAAATTAAAATATATATATATATATATATATATATATATATATATATATAATGCATGACTCTTCGGTAAATCGAATCGAGTTGTCTCAGTCACTGTGTGTTTATCTAAAAATGTGACGCCAATTCAGTCGGGTTTCGATCCTAGCTAGAGGCAACCAGACATCTAGCCACACTGATGGGCTGTGATACGGCGAAACAGTCTATCTGTGGATGAAAAAAATATATATATATATAGAGAGAGAGAGAGACAGAGAGAGAGAGAGAGAGAGAGTATTTTCCCTACTCTATTCATTGGTGCTACTGTAGTATGTGATATAGCAAATCGCAGCAAGTGTACTATATCATCTACCAAAGTGTATTATCTGATCCACTTAAATGTAGAAAAATCTTTGGTAGATGACTTAGTCCACTAATTAAGCGTAGAATGTCATCGACTTAAGTATACTCCGTATGGAAATGCTGCTCCTCTGTAACAGTGTTTCTGTTGCTATTTACAAATCGACTTGCATACGGAGGTTTATATTCTCCTTTCACTTAAGGAAACACGCATGCGTTACAGACAATCCGTTCCCTCACATGACATATTGCTCCCATTACCCCACCTATATATGCTATTTTATTATTCAATATTTGATTAATGAAAAACTGATATGGATGAATTGACTGAAAAACCTTTAATCTCTATCTCTTACACATACACACATCTATCTATCTATCTATCTATCTATCTATCTATCTATCTATCTATCTGTATGTGTGTGTGTGTGTGTGTGTGTGTGTGTGTGTGTGTGTGTGTGTGTGTCAACCCACTCCAGGATGGCTTGAATGCATAATTTTCCTTCAAAACTGGTTGTTGATCAAAGCTATAGGACATAATCTCTGTTGCTACTCATCCATGGCTGGAAGGGAGAATAGATGGATTCGTACCTTTCCTAAACGGTATTTACGCGCAATCGAATGTAACGAACTCGACTGGAATTGGTGATTGGGTCTCCGGTTTTAATCTTGAACCACTATACCGCATATATATATATATATATATATATATATATATATATATATATAATTATTTATTTAAAAATATGATTCCAACTCGCGATATAAGAGGTCTCATGTTTTCAAAACAAGATGAAAACTACAATATAATTATTTGAATTAAATAATTATATTGTAGTTTTCGGCTCTTGTTTTGAAACATGATTTCTTACGTCGCGAGTTGGAATCATATTTTAAATAAATAATTATATTTATGCTTACTTTTGTATCGAGCACTATTTTTAAAAATAATAACTAAAATACTGAGGAACTTTCGATTATTTACCTAACCTGTTCCTTCCTATTTTATATATATATTCACACACACACACACACACACACACACACACACACACACATATATATATATATATATATATATATATATATATATATATATATATATATAAAAAATAAACAACCAATTGTTGATATATCTTGGCGAGGGGACGAAGCGATTGCCGGAACGTCCCATTTTTGAAACTCTAGAATCGAGATGCTGAAAATAGCATCAATCAGATTTTATAGTTGTATTATATATATATATATATATATATATATATATATATATATATATATATATATACTTCTACTACTACTACTAGTAGTCAAAAGTATTTGACCACCATCAAAAATTTTTATTTCTCATCCTAAAAGTGTTATTTTCAATGAAACAAGTTAGGCACCACAATGGTTTTATTTATTATACTAAATACAAGTCTTCCTGAGCCACATTAAATACAAATTAAGCAAAAAAAGAAAACTTCTTAAACCTTTGATTCATCAAAATGTCCCCCTTTGGCCGCTATCACTTCTTCACAGATTCTCAGCATTCTTTCCACCAATGACTGGAGCTAGACTGAAGATAGTTCTGCCCAGCTTTCCTGCAAGATTTGCCAGAGGTGATCCTCACTTTTGGGTTGTTTAGCTCTGACTTTTCGGTCAAGTTCATCCCACACCAGTTCAATGGGATTTAAGTCCGCTGATTGCGCTGGCCAAGACATCAGTTGAAGGACGTGCTGTTCCTCTTTGCTTTTAATCTACCTCTGGCAGAGTTTACTAGCATGCCTTGGTTTATCTTCCATGAGTACAAATCCTTGTCCCACAAGCCGCCTTCCAGATGGGATCGCGTGATGTCGCAGTATACTATGAGAGCTGGTCTGATTCAATTTGCCGTTCACCTGGTGCAAATCCCCGACTTTACAATTGGCAAAATGCCTCACACCATAACAAAGCTTCCTCCGTGCTTTACGGTTGGTGGGATACGGAAGTTGCAGCTCTTTCACCTACTCTTCGACGCACATAGACCCTCCTATTTGACCCAAAGATTTTTTAACTATAATTCGTCGATCCAAAGGACTTTATTCCACTGCTTTATTATCCAGTCTTTGTGCTCCTTGACCCACACTGGAGCCCTCTGACATTGTTTTGATTTCTCGGCAGTAGTTTCTTGACAGCAATTCTGCCATATTGGCCATCTTCACAGAGTTGTCACCTCACACTGTATGTTGACACATTTTTTCTCGACATCGGTTCAGTTATGCAATGATGTTTGGAGCAGTCAATCTTCTGTCACGCAAGCTGGTGAGTGCGATAACATTGTCCTCTGCCCTTGTTGTTGCTTTTGGTCTATCAGCCCTAATTTTGCTCATGATTTGTCCCATCTTCTAATTTCTCCGAAGAGTATAATCCACTATAGTTCTCGAATTCTTAAAAAAATTTCTCTGCTTGAATATACTTTTTTTAAACCCTAGAACACTAACCATCAATTAAAGTTACACCACTACTAACCATGGGTATATCATACCCGATTTTGAAAATATCAAAAAAAAATATTAAATATAAATCTTTATTTGAAATATTTTACATGCAGAGACTTCAAACGTTGTACTTTGAGTTAACATTAATACGAACTGAAAAACATATTTAGATAAGAAAATCAGGTACTGAAAATTGTAATTAAAAATAGGAAAATTTGAGCTGGGTACTATATACCCATGGTTAGTGTTCTAGGGTTAATGTAAAAATCTCTTACGTTAGTTCAAGTGTAAGTTCACGTGTTTTGGACATTCTGTTAAGAAAAATGTTTTGATACGGTAGAAAGTTGCAAAATTTAGGTTTTAATTTAAACAAAATAAGAATAAAAGATTTCACTACTGGGCAAGGTACATTGGCAGCGTAGGTATAACAGGCAATATCTAGCAAGTAGTGATTCAACACAATATAGTTTAATGTGAGTTCAAGTGGTGGTATAATGTAACTTTTTGAAAATGTTTTATTCATGCTCAGTACTAAAGAAGAAAAACACCTTCAAATCAATTTTTCAAAAGATATCTGGTTACATTAATGTTAAAGTTACAGAAGGAGACTTGTATTTAGTATAATAAATAAAGCCATTGTCGTGCTTAACTTGTTTCATTAAAAATAACACTTATAGTAAGGGAAATGAAATTTTTGAGGGTGGTAATACTTCTGACTGGTAGTATATATATATATATATATATATATATATATACTACCAGTCAAAAAGTATTTGGGACCTCAAAAATTTTCATTCTCATACTAAAAGTGTTATATATATATATATATATATATATATATATATATATATATATATATATACTGTTGTTGCATTAAAGTATTACGTTTCTTGCTATATTATCTCTGGCTATGTGGTATAGCTGGAAATTCTTCGAGCGTTCTATTTACTTCTTGCGAAGGATGTGAGGTACTCTGCTGTAATCCTCGTAAATATTTTGGTCACCATACATCAACTCCTATTAGGTAAAAGATTTGTGACTGGCATTAAATTCCATTCAAACCTCTGTCGGGAATCATATAATTAATCACAAGTGTCGTACGTGATACACGTTTGGACGATCATGTTTCTTTCGAAACTTCTTAATGGTCACAATGGTCAAAGACATCTTAATGGTCACACGGTCAAAGTTTGATTCAACTGGAATCCACGGAAATTAACGAAAACGTAAAAAAACAATCAAGAGGTAACTTTAGTAAGATGAAAGAGAGATAATTCAGAATTATTGGTGTATTAAACTGGTCCAGATATCAGAGCCCAGTTATGACTAGGCAGAAGATTTTCCATCAGTAGATTGCCATCTCTTTCAGACTGGTTGCCAATAAAGGCGATAGAACTAAGTCTTTCCTGCTATTCATAGAATGTGCTTCACCAGGGCTACATCCTGTTTTAAATTCAGATTTTTCCTTCTCCTAGACCGATTACCACCCAAGGCTATAGAATCATATAATACGGCCCTGTAATATTATGGCATGTGGCATGTGTTCATTGGTCAGGGCTGTGGAAGTTATTTACAGATGTATTTATATTTGGAGAAAAATGCATGTTTCTATGGATATATCGTGTTAGTCGGATGTTCTGAAAGTTGATGGTTACCTTGTAATTGGGTGTATTCTGCTGAAGTTCCCAAAAACCGTTGGCCAGAGGTGTTATCTTTCCAATGGACGAATTCGTGTGCAGTGGACAACAGCATAGATAGTTATAGATCCAGCTCATCAGTAGCATGTTCTACCAGCGTTGAGTCACTCTAATGTCGTATGTATTTTGCTGTAGTACACAAAGAACCAGAGGTGTTACCTTCCCAGTTATTTAAAATAGATGGGCGAGTTCGTGTGCGGAGGAGAACACACATTACTAGAGATCTAGACTGTCACCAGAACTTCTGAAAGCTGATGGTATCTGTGTAATAGTGTGTGGTGTGTACTGTTAGAATTCACAGGGATTACTAGTGAAATTGGAGCCTGTCTCGACAGGTGTGGCATACACAGAATTTGATGCAGATCATTTCTAACTCTTGAGGCCCGCTGTGTTTCCCGCAAGTTAACGCTTCAACCCATCATGGCAGGAAACTAACTTCAGAAACGCTCGGCTGACGCCCAAGTACCCCATTAATCCCCCAGACATTTAAACACTATTGGACATTTACGGAATATGTTGTCGACCCCGTTAAAGACCATCCGGCCACACCAAGCAAACATAGCACATAGATATCCCTTTCAACGTTCCTGGATATGATATACATGCACAATACCTCCTATATTTTATAGAAATTATGTCACCTCACGTAGCTGCCGTCATTCAAGTGATAGGAGGAGCTACATGTTATTAGGTAGGTGTCTCTAATTTTAGGGTCCCTTCAGTTTATGTTAACTTAATAAACCAAAACATCTTTTCCAGAAACATATAAACTCGATGCCACGTCGCGTAACTACCATTATTCAGGAGATGGCAGGCACTATATGTTATTAGGTAAGTATCGCTAATTTTAGGGGCCCTTCAGTTTGTATTTACTTAATAAACTGAACCATCTTTTTCCAGAAACATTTAATCTCAATGATACGTTGTGTAAGTGTCTTTATTCAGATAAAGAGACGGGTTACACTTTTGGGACAGTATTTTGCCCCTCAATCTATTTTAAAGCAACAATAAAAAAGCAATTAATTTTTAAAAGAATGGTGAATGAATTGGTAGTCAGTAAAAAATTATTTTCTCTACAAGAAAACTTATTTAAGAAATGTAAATATACGTTTGGATGTCGACGATTATAACTCTCCACATTTTCTTTTTTCTTTATTATCTGTGAATTACCACCTCTTCTTGAGAAAGATAGTGGGCTGTTTTCCCATTGCTTTCATCGTGGATTAGAATTCAGAGTCGTCTATCTGCTAGTCCAGCC